ATATGAAAAACAGAAACATGGTTGTGGTGAATATTAAAGGAGATAATGGATATTAAGCTACACTGGAAGCAATGACATGTAATACTTTTGACAAATAGTATATATTTTTTTTTTAATCCTCGGGAATTTGTAGAAATAGCAGGGTCAACAGACAAGGATCAAATCTGGACTCTGCAACATATTGGCTAGGAGCTCTGGTGGTGTAGTGCCTAAGGCACTTGACTGCTAATCAGAAGGCTGGTGGTTCAAACCCACCAGCCACTACTTGGAAGGAAGGTTGGGCAATCTACTTCTGTAGTGACACCACCTTGGAAACCCAAGGAGGGGTCGCTATTGACTCAGGTCCAACTTGACAGCACATAACAACAAGAACAACAACCACAACATATTGGCTATGTAAGCATGGACAAGATGTTTATTCCTCTGCCAGACAGGTATAATGACATCTATCCAGTAAGAATATTGCAAATTAATGAGATAATGTATATTAGGTGCATAGCATTGTGTCTATCATACAGTAGTTGCTCAGTAAGAGTTTGCTCACCCTTCTTCTGCTCTTAATTTATACTATGACTAATCACTAACAAAAAATTTAAGTTCTGTCTTTGTCAACAGATATCCTACACATTTATAAAGCTACCAAACTGCACCTAAGACTTCTTTCTAGTAAAGGAATCATTTAAAACCATGAGTCAATTTCCCAATCACCTTTTCCAAAGCTAAAATAGCTCTTCTTTTCTTAACAAGGGCCGCCTACAGATGTGGGTAGACATGTTTCCCAAAGATATGCCTCAGCCTGGACCTCCTGTGGACATTTCACCAAGGCAACCCAAAGGGTAAGTCAGTTGGACTCCTATTTTCAGAAGAAGAGACCATGGTAACACACTAAAAGTGACATTTGATCTGGTATCTGATTGGTTACATTCCTCGTTTGGCACTTGATAGCCACACTTCACTCTCTCCCTAGCCAGTTACTGCAGGGGATGGGTGGTGGCAGCAGGGTAGTGGTGGTGATTAAAATGGTGGCCCTTGTCTTATGGTAGAGGGTTCTGAGCTGCAAGTTCCTCTCTGAAAGGTGTTGGTTGATGACAGGAGGATTTGTTCAGAGTAATCTGTGCCCTTTGTGATTCTGAGGTCTCCATTGAGACACTTGATTCTGATGAAAGCAAGACCTCGAGTGTTGATTTATCCAGATATGACAAATTTGAGGAAGTGAAGGCAACCCAAATAACATAGATATCAGTTCATTTTGCTTTCAAGGTCTTCAACCTAGTACTGCCTCCCCTCACTCCAGGTATGAATTGAGGGTGACCATCTGGAACACTGAAGACGTCATTTTAGAGGATGAGAATATCTTCACAGGACAAAAATCAAGTGACATTTATGTTAAAGGGTAAGATCGCTGGCAACCTCATGCTCCCTTTCCTTCCCCTTCCTAACCAAATCTATTCCTCATGGAAGATACTCTACCCCACACACCATAGAAGGAGACCATCCTACTCACTTTGTTAGATAAGAACACTTTCCTTGTTAAATATTTCTTTTACTTGGTCAATTTGCTAAGAACTATTATAGTCTGAAAATATTTTCCATGAGCAAGTCTTAGTGTTTCCTCTAATTCAATTAAATCTAGACTACCTAAAATTTTTTAGTAACATTCAAAATGCATCTATCCTTTAAATCTGAAAGGATTAGAGAGATGCAATATTATTAATGAAAGATTAAGCTTATGGGAGCTCTGGTAGCATAGTGGCTAAGGCACTTGACTGCTAACCAGAAGGCTGGTGGTTCAAACCCACCAGCCACTCCTCAGAAGGAAGATGGGGCAATCTACTTCCATAGTGATACTGCCTCAGAAACCCAAGGAGGGGTCGTTATGAGTTGGGTCTGACTCGACGGCACATAACAACAACAACAACAATGTAGTTAAGTCTTGTAACACTAAAGCAAAAGCTAAAATTTAGACTTTCCCATCGCCTAGTTCTATTGATAAAAATGATGCCAACTGAGGACCCAGAGAACAAAGCATTTTCTATTCCCTTGTGGCACAGACATAGAATGCTGTTGTAGCCTTCCTCTTAGCCTCCAGTCAGTGAGAAAGATGAGGTGGTAGGAAATCAGAAGCCAAAGTGATTAAACTTGTACCCTGAGCTAAACCTCATCTCAAAAGTAGTAAACTCATCTCAGGTTCCTGCTGGTATTCCTTAGCTTTCCCAAGACAAGAAACATTCTTTCTTCAGAATCCACATTACCAGCATATTTGACAGTCAAAGCATGTCGAGTGACCCCAATTCTCTATCATGTTAAGAATGTCAGATTGAGTTAAATATTACAAAGGAGTAACAATGGAAAAAGCATGATAGAAAATAGATCGTTATTGTTAGGTGTCGCTAAGTCTGTTCCAACTCAGTGATCTTATGTAAAATGGAACAAAACACTGCCCAGTCCTGTGCCATCCTCACAATCAGCTGGGCCCGAGCCCAATGTTGCAGCTACTCTGTCAGTAGCTCGTTGAGGGTCTTCATTTTTTCACTGACCCTCTACTTTAGCAAGCATAATGGCCTTCTCCAGGGACTGGTCCCTCTTGATAATGTGCAAAGTACATGAGATGAAGACGTGTCATCCTTGCTTCTAAGGAGCATTATGGCTGGACTTCTTCCAAGACAGAATTGTTGATTCTTCTGGCAGTCCATGGTATATCAATATTCTTCACCAACACCATAATTTAAATGCATCAGTTCTTCTTCAGTCTTTCTTATTCATTATCTAGCTTTTGCATGCATACAAAGTGGTTGAAAATACCATGGCTTGGGTCAAGTGCATCCTAGTCATCAAAGTGACATCTTTGCTTTTGGCACTTAAAGAAATCTTTCGCAGTAAATTTTCCAAATGCAATATGTTGTTTAATTTTTTGAATCCTGCTTTGATTGTGGATCCAAGTAAAATGAAATCCTTGATGATTCCAAATTTACTCTGTTTATCATGATGTTGCATATTGGTCCAATTGTGAAGATTTTTGTGTTCTTTATGTTGAGGTATGCTCCATACTGAGGGTTGTAGTCTTTTATCTTCATCAGTAAGTACTTCAAATCCTCTTCACTTTCTGAAAGGAAGGTTGTGTCATCTGCATATAATAGGTTGTTAATGAGTCTTCCTCCAATCCTGATGTCACATTCTTCTTCATATAGTCCAACTTCTTGGATTATCTGCTCAGCATACAGATTGAATAAATTTGGTGAAAGGATACAGTCCTGACACACACATTTCCTGATTTTAAACTATGAAGTATGCTCTTGTCTGTTCAAACAATCGCCTCTTGGTCTATGTACATGTTCCATATAAGCACAGTTAAATGTTCTGAAATTTCCATTCTTTGCAGTGTTATCTTTAATTTGTTGTGATCCACACAGTTGAATGCCTTTACAAAGTCAATAAAACAGAGGTAAACATTTTTGTCTGCTTTCAGCCAAGATCCAGCTGACATCAGCAATGATACTCCTTGTTTCCTGTCCTCTTATGAATCCAGCTTGAATTTTTGGCAATTACCTGTCAATGTACTGCTGCAACAGTTTTTTAATTATCTTCAGTAAAATTTTACTTGCAACTGGTATTAAGATACTGCTCGATAATTTCCACAACCTGTTGGATCACCTTTCTTTGGAATGAACACAAAAATGGATCTCTTCCAGTTGGTTAGAAGCTCTGGTGGCATAGTGCCTAACGCATTTGACTGCCAACCAGAAGGCTGGTGATTCAAACCCCCAGCCTCTCCTCGGAAGGAAGATGGGGCAATCTACTTCCATAGTGATGCTGCCTTAGAAACCCAAGGAGGGGTCGCTATGAGTCGAAATCAACTTGACGGCAGTGAGTTTGGTTTTTTGGTCCAGTTGGTTGACCAGGTAGCTGTCTTCCAAATTTCTTGGCACAGACAAGTGAGCACTTCCAGTGTTGCATCCACTTGTTGAAAGATTTCAATTAGTTCCATCAGTTCCTGAAGGCTTGTTTTTCACCAATGCTTTCAGTGCAGCTTGGACTTCTTCCTTCAATACCCTCAGTTCTGTTCATATTCTCTCTCCTGAAATAGTTGAACATCAACCAATTCTTCTTGTTACGGTGACTCTGTGTATTCCTTCCATCTTCTTTTGATGCTTCCTGTGCTGTCCAATATTTTTCCCATGGAACCCTTCAATACTGAAACTTGGGGCTTGAATATTTTCTTCAGTTCTTTCAGCTTGAAGAAATGCCAATTGTGTTCTTCCCCTTTGGTTTTCCAACTCCAGGTCTTTGCACATTTCATTATAATACTTTACTTTGTCTTCTTGTGCTGCCCTTTGAAATCTACTCAGCTGTTTTGTTTCATCATTTCTAGAATTCCCTTTAGCTACACTCTGTTCAAGAGCAGAGATCCACTTTGGTCTTTTCTTTCCCTCCTGTCTGTTTAATGACCTTTTGCTTTCCTCGTGTATGATGTTCTCCCATGAGTCATCTGATCTTCAATCATTAGTGTTCAGTGCATCAAATAAAATAGGCTTTTAAAAAACCTATTAATGATAGAGCCTGATGGAACCACTGAGACTATGGCCCCAATTGCTCTTCAGGTCTGGAATTGAACCCACTGCTGTGGCTTCCAGCCAAACAAAAGACAGGCATATGAGCTGAACATTTATATTAGGTAGATACGCTCTCTGGAGAGATCAGTCATGGGAGAATAGAAGGGTTGTGTATGCACAGGGAGACAGCTCAGGGAGCAGGAGTGCATGGGAGAGAAGGACACAGGGAAGAGGTGGCTATGGGGAGGAAGTAGGAGGGGAGCTGTTGCATTGTGGGAAATTGCAGTCAATGTCATGAGACAAAGTGTATGTGAGCTGTTGTATGGAAAGTGCATTCGCTCTGTAAACTTTCACCCAAATCACAATAAAAATTTAAAATAAATAAATAATTTTTTTAAAAAAAAAGGGAAGAAAATTACCATTATCTACAGCATTTTATTGTATCAACAGAAATATTATTCAAATCAATAAAAAATTCTCCAAGGTTGTTTTATGTGAAAACAATAGGAACAAAAATTTAAGATGTAAAAGACCTTTAGGGAGAAAACAATAAAATGATATTAAAAGGGGGAAAAAAACTATTAAGCTCCTCCAAAATGGTGTCTTATCATCAGTTCTGGGAAGACTAATTTGTCCTGGAAAGAGCTTCAAGATTTGGAAGGATTCCGAAAGAGTTCAGGCTGGGACTTTCAGAACTCTGGCCATTAAGTGTGCTGAAAGAGATGCTGATATCTACACTCTCCATTTCCTACCCTCCCACTCACTTGTCTTCCAAGTGCATTCTGGCTTCTGCCCCCAACATTTTCTCTAAATCAGCCCAACTTTAGAGGCCTCCAGTCACTCTCAACATTGTGGGTGATCTTGCTCTAACACTTGGGGTTGGAGGCGGCATTCTTCATAAAGAGGGCTCCCAGGGTGAGAGGAAACTCCTGGCATTACACTTCCACTGACCACAGAATGAAATGGACAGAGTGGAATTGAGTTCTAAGAGGCCCTTGGATACAAATTTCCTTTGCAATTCCTGAACGTTCCCTCGTTATTGCAAGGGCTTCAAGTCCAAGGTTGGGCTTCCCCAACCTGCCTTAGAAAGAGAATCTTATTTCTGTTCCAAAACCTTTGATTTCCTTTTATAGATTCAATTGAAGGTTCCATTTGAACCTAACTATGTAACACTTTTTCAATTATGAGCTGCGACCATACTGAAACTGCTTAAATCAATCTTGGTAATACTGATGCCTGAATAGCGTACTCTGAGGGTTTAATTTTCTCTTTCTTCAGGTGGATAAAGGGCTTGGAAGATGACAAACAGGAGACAGATGTGCATTACAACTCCCTGACAGGGGAGGGGAACTTCAACTGGCGCTTCCTGTTTCCGTTTCAGTATCTCCCAGCTGAGAAGCAAATGGTCATTACCAAGAGGGAGAACATCTTTTCCCTGGAGAAGATGGAGTGTAAGACTCCAGCTGTGTTGGTGCTCCAGGTTTGGGATTTTGAGAGGTTGTCCTCAGATGACTTCCTGGGTAAGCCATTGGTTCCATCAAGCACTCATCAATGACCTGATGCCACATGATAGTCCACATGATAGTTTCATGGGGTAGGGCCTGGTTCTCGGAGAGGTTAGTCTGATTGAGATACAAAGATAATGATTTCAGTAATATTTCTGACAGCAAAAAATTGGAAATAACCCATATGGCCATTAATAAAGAATTGGCTAAATAAATCATGGTACATCTGTATGGTGGAACGCTTCATATTCAGGCAGGCTTAAGCTGATCTTCGCTCCGCCATTTAGAAGCTATTTAACTTTGAATTAATTACTTGTGCACTCTGTGCCTCAGTTTTCCTCAGTTTCAAAATGGAGATAGTAGTATTACGTACCTCAGAGAGTAGTTGTAAATGTGGTATTGCAACTAAAGAACTAAGTACATTGCCTCACATAAAGTAAGTGCTCAGTAAGTGATAACACTGAAGTCATTAAAAAATATTGGAATATTTAATAATTTGAAAAATTTTATAGGATATATTAAGTAAAAAAGAAAACAGTATGGACAAAAACCACCTTCTGTAAAATATATATTTCTGTGTATAGGAAAAAGTCAGAGGTCAGCAAAGAAATACAGAGAGAGAGACCAATGCAGAGCTAAACACCCATATAGACAGCAGTGGCTAACTTTGTAGACATAGGATTATGGAAAATTTTTCCCTTCTTTTTTTGTTTATGTGCATGCCCTAAATTTTCTATAATTAACAAATTTTACTTTTGTAATAGGAAAAAATTATCAAAGGGAGAGTGTTCTGGT